AATATGTCCGGATGTGGCCAAAGTGGTTCTAGGAACTAAATTTGAGTTCCATTGAACTAGTCTTTGAATTCTCATGTAATTTGATGTGTCGCATGGTGGGTTTGACCCTAATCAGATGTTGGCCTCTTCCCCCGGGACACCCGGAATATGTCCGGATGTGGCCAAAGTGGTTCTAGGAACTAGATTTGAGTTCTATTAAACCAGAAATTGAATTCTTATGTATTTTGATGTGTCGCATGATGGGTTTGACCCTAATCAGATGTTGGCCTCTTCTCCCGGGACACCCGGAATATGTCCGGATGTGGCCAAAGTGGTTCTAGGAACTAAATTTGAGTTCCATTGAACTAGTCTTTGAATTCTCATGTAATTTGATGTGTCGCATGGTGGGTTTGACCCTAATCAGATGTTGGCCTCTTCCCCCGGGACACCCGGAATATGTCCGGATGTGGCCAAAGTGGTTCTAGGAACTAGATTTGAGTTCTATTAAACCAGAAATTGAATTCTTATGTATTTTGATGTGTCGCATGATGGGTTTGACCCTAATCAGATGTTGGCCTCTTCTCCCGGGACACCCGGAATATGTCCGGATGTGGCCAAAGTGGTTCTAGGAACTAAATTTGAGTTCCATTGAACTAGTCTTTGAATTCTCATGTAATTTGATGTGTCGCATGGTGGGTTTGACCCTAATCAGATGTTGGCCTCTTCCCCCGGGACACCCGGAATATGTCCGGATGTGGCCAAAGTGGTTCTAGGAACTAGATTTGAGTTCTATTAAACCAGAAATTGAATTCTCATGTATTTTGATGTGTCGCATGATGGGTTTGACCCTAATCAGATGTTGGCCTCTTCTCCCGGGACACCCGGAATATGTCCGGATGTGGCCAAAGTGGTTCTAGGAACTAAATTTGAGTTCCATTGAACTAGTCTTTGAATTCTCATGTAATTTGATGTGTCGCATGGTGGGTTTGACCCTAATCAGATGTTGGCCTCTTCCCCCGGGACACCCGGAATATGTCGGGATGTGGCCAAAGTGGTTCTTGAACTGGATTTGAGTTCTATTAAACCAGAAATTGAATTCTTATGTATTTTGATGTGTCGCATGATTTGTTTGACCCTAATCAGATGTTGGCCTCTTCCCCCGGGACACCCGGAATGTATCCGGACGTGGCCAAAGTGGTTCTTGGAACTAGATTTGAGTTCCATTGAACTAGTCTTTGAATTCCTGTGTATTTTGATGTGTTACATGATGGGGTTAGTTTGTAAGATATTATTGTTAGGTTAAGATCTATTTCATAAAAAAAACATATGTTAGTTATAAGAATAAGATAAATAAAGATTATTGATGAAGTCATGTTCATGCTTCAACAGTTTTTATTTTTATTAATTTAAAACCCATTGAAAAAGAAAATGGTGGTGAACAACCGGAAGCGCGCCGGGGCGCCTGGGGGCGGACAAAATGGCCGAAACGATCAGTTTTTTGACAGGTATCGTTTTCGCCTCAGGCGCCCAAATGTTGCAAATATGGTCGCCCCCGGCGCGCCGGCGACCAAATTTGGACCAAGCGGCGCCGCGAGGTTCGAGTCGCCCAAGTCCGCCCCGTCCGCCGAGCGGTCCGGGGGCGAGCCGTGGGCGACTAGCCCGCTGTATGTGGGTATATTCGTTTTGTAATATTTTTGAGTGTACCAGTGAAAAAATGTGTATTTTTATACTCATTAATGGGTAAAAAAAAACTTCAAACTTTGCTGCATCCTGCTTTGTTGACGCACGCCATTTGCTAAATTTTCAGTGAAGAACAGCAGGAAAATGGAGGAACTACGGTCCAAACTGGACAGTGCGCAACGATGGACATTTAACGGCGCCGGTGGTGTAGTGGTAAGCGTGATTACCTCTCACCCCAGCAGGCCTGGGTTCAATCCCAGTCGGCGCCGCCGGCATGTTCTGAGGCATAACATCTCTGATCACGCCTTCCTTCGGATGGGAAGTAAAGCCGTTGGTCCCCGGTTCATGAGTTGATGGGTCGATAGGTAGGGTCCAGGTGTGGGAGCTGCCTTCCTGGCACATCGGTAGCATTGGTGCTCAGCACGGAAAACAAGATCGACGGAAAAAACAAACCAAAGGAAAAAAAAAACGATGGACATGCTAGAGGGTAGGTGATTTATACTTTTTTCATAGCTTTTAGTTCTCGTTTTGTTTATATACTTCATATACTGATTTTTGTTTTTCTTCCCTTGATTTGTTTTCCGTGCTGAGCACCAATGCTACTGACGCCAGGGAGGAAGCTCCCATACCTGGACCCTACCTATCGACCCATCAACTCATGAACCGGAGACTTCCCTTCCGAAGGAAGGCGTGATCCTCGGCGCGATCAGAGATGTTATGCCTCAGAACATCCCGGCAGCGTCGACTGGGATTGAGAGGAAATCACGAGGAAATCACGCTTACCACCACACATCCGGTGCCACTACTTATTTTTGTTGATGGCATTTCTTTTTTTTATAAAATATATCCAGCTTTCCATGCTCGGTAATGGCGGCCTGTTTGTATGAATAAATGTATCCTTCACTGTGCTTTTTGACACTAACTGGAGGGCGTATGTTGTTCCATTTTCTACTGTTCCTGGGAGAGGGAAAGGGAAGGGGTTGAAATTCGAACATCCAGATAGTGTCAAAAAGCACAGTGAAGGATACATTTATTCATACAAACAGGCCGCCATTACCGAGCATGGAAAGCTGGATACAATAATCGAGCAATCTTTATTTTACCATTGACACAAATAAGAAAATTCCGAAATTAATAAAAAAAAACAATGCGCACCCATTATATTTAAGTTCTAGAAATGATTACTTTTTACACATTTTGCTGTAAAAACCGTTCTTGAAAAATGTGTAAAAAATACACTTCTTTTGACGTTTGCTGGGTTTACACATAAATGTGTAAACGCAGTTTACACATTTTATGAGTAGGCCCCTTTTTTTACGAAATGTGTGAAATTTTACACATTAATGTGTTTACGCTGGTTACCGTTTGAAGGGAATAAGCTACACACAAAAAATTATCGTTAATTAAATTGAAAAAAACCATTAGTAGAATTAAAAGTTTGCGTTGGTTCTTTTTAGTAGAAAGTCTTTAGGATTCAAAACAAAAGTCAGCCAACTGTCAATTCAAAAACAACTCAATTTTTACTTTTAAAAGTAGAAACTTTCAAATCAAATTGTAGAACTGTCAATATAAAAACCCATGTTTTTAAATAGACTCACGAAAGCATTTAATTTAAAAGATGGGCATTTTTAACGCAACGATGCATGTTTTCATTTCAAATATGAATTATTTTTTAATTCGACTGCTATATGCTTTGAAGAAAATAAAAATAGAAATATGTTATTTAATATATATTCGTTTATTTATATTTTTGCGAGTATTTTTGATGATGACTGAAAGGGCACTGCATTGTGGAATCTTCCATGAGAAGCATTTTACGCAAATGATACAGTTGGTGATGGTGATGATGGGAGTAGCCTTCCTTTCCGGCAAGACTGACGAGGCTGCTCAAAACACATAAATTAGTAAAATCGGAAGCATGATCGAAAGTTTTCGAAAATTACATCAACCTACCTCCAAATCCCGTAACTGGAATATCCTTCCGATCCTTCCACTTGATAGCGTCAGAAGAGAAACAAGCGCGCCGGCGGATGAAAATGTGGGAAACTGCTGCTGCTCATGCATGTTAGCTGCTGGTTTACTTTCTTTTTCACATGTCTAATTTGGCGGGAAACGGTGGTCCAGTACTGTCAAAAACTTTGCAATGAAGAGGTTTTTGACAGTTTTTCGACTTTTATTCTAAAAAATACACTTTTAAAATTACAAGCCGAAAGTGAAAGCAACACTTTTAAACCAAAAAAATATGTTTTATTTTGAAAATTTTCATAGTTAAAACTACGAAATTTGGCAAACTTTTAATTTGATCATGCAATATTTTTATAGCAACAATTTTTGTTCTTTGTGTGTATGAAAAAAGTATAAATCACCTACCCTCTAGCATGTCCATCGTTGCGCACTGTCCAGTTTGGACCGTAGTTCCTCCATTTTCCTGCTGTTCTTCACTGAAAATTTAGCAAATGCCGTGCGTCAACAAAGCAGGATGCAGCAAAGTTTGAAGTTTTTTTTACACATTAATGAGCAGGGTTACTTCCACTTACTTGCTATAAAAAATTGTGTTTCCGAATTATGAACACATTAGATGTGATAATGATAATTAGTACTTGTAAGTTACAAGAAGAGGTCGTAAAGTATGTGTTTGATGCATAAAACCTGTCAAAATTGCTTTCAGTGCGTCACAATTAGCGATTTAACGATTCGTGAGCGCTCACTCAGAGTGAACGCTCGCGAATCATAAAATCGCCGATTGTGACGCTCTGAAAGCGAAATTGACAGGTTTTATGAGTCAACCACATCCTTTACACCCTTTTCTTGTTACTTACAAATACAGCATATCATTATATCATCTGATGATCTCATAATTTAGAAAACCATTGTTTTATAGCAAGTGAGTGGAAGCAACCCTGTTAATGAGTATAAAAATACACATTTTTTGACTGGCACTACATTCTTAAAATGTGTATTTTTTTACACATTTTAGGATCTCCGAATTTACACATTTTTTGACAGCTGCATATAAATATAAAAAATGTGTATTTTGTTACTCATTTATATATTTACGCTGGTTACCGTGAGTACTTTCTATGGGTTTCAATTTCCCCCTACATGATATCGATAAATTATTGGCATTTGAATTTAATGTAAAAAAAGGAACACACAAATTTTTATTTTTCTGTTTTTTCCGTTTTTTCGTTTTTTCTCTGTAAAGTGCAAGTTACTCATCTTTCCGTTGCACCTATGGGCTTAGATCGTTTTCGTAACAAAACGTCACCCGCACGACGTCAAAGTCGGAAAACTCCCCCAAAGCCGATGAGAAAAAGAAAACAACCAGCACAGCGCCGAGAAACCATCCGATTCTACAACATTCGTTCAGTCAGTCAGCCAGCAAAGCCAGAGAAGAGTGGAAAAGTTTAGCCCCAGCAGCGCCTTTATTGGAATTAAAGAGGAAAAATTATAGTCCACAAAAGGAATTTTGTCGACCGTGCAAGTCCGGGTGTCAATCGTACGCGTTTCCGCGAGTGCGTCTTTACAGAAGTGATAAGGGTGAAAAAAGGGCGGCGTGCAAATTTGCGTGAATTGAAGGAAAAGTTGGGCGTGAAGAAAGCGAGGAAAAGTTCGCTTTAGGAAGAAGCAGTGTCCGCAGTGCTAGAGAAAGGGTGTGGAAGTTATATTATTTTTTTCGCTTGTCTGCGGCCGAAATTTGAGCGGAGGAGCTTGCGAGGTGACGACTGAGCTTGATCAAGAGCACAGTCAGTAAAGCAAGTAACGAAGGAAGGGAAATTTCAGTCGAGTCAAGCAGAGCGCAGAAAAGAAACAGTTTCGTCCCATTCCGAGTACCGAAAGCGAGCGCAGCAGGAAACGCTCTTCAAAATGGTTATCAAAGTGTATATCAGCGGAATGTCCGGAAGCAAGGAGGTAAGTCGTAGCAGAGCATTTAGGGAAGGGAAGGGGCTGCAAACTAGCCAAGGAAATACAGTTATACAGTTATCTTTTGATTTCGTTTACTAAATAAGGCAATGAAAACGCTCTCTCTCTCGCTCTCTTGTTCCCATGCCCTGGCGGTCCAAAACAAAATACACAAAAAATATTCAATGCTACGTATCTACTAAATTGTTCGAGAAATGAGCTCCGAACGACAAACGATGTGGATATGCGAGGCGGTTGGTGGTGGTGACCTTCGTGGCACTGGAAGCGCTTCTGCGGGGCAAAATTGAATGAGTGAATTCAATTTGATTGGTATCTGGGAACAGAACCGAGCAGGGAGTGACCTTTCCGGTCGGGATGATGTCATATTATGTATTGTGTGTGTATCTGAACCAGAGCCAGATATTATAATCGCATGACGGAAGAAGTACTGCGGGAGTGAATGCTCTGCTGATGGGAAGAATTACGTCGAAACGCCGCAAATGAATTGGGTGTTAGTTAGGCAAGTGGATGGACGACGAGGAAAAAAGAGTTCTATTTTTGAGACACTTTGCAATCAAAGAAAACAGAGAGGAGAGTGGGCAAAAAGACGAAAGACACAAAATAACTCGTGGCTAGCTTGCCGATAAGCACGAGTTCTAATTGCGGATAAGCCAGCGAAAGAGGTTTTTTTTTTCGTGGGGAAAATAAACAGCTGTGAAACAATAGGAAGGAATTTTGGCTCCGAAGAGGTTGTGATTTGAAAGGCAAGCATTTCCAATATTTCTGAATGGCGATCGAACTTTCTAATCCGTTCCACATCGGCAAAATAACAATATTGTTAAGAGTCCTACATGATTCGATCATGACGAACAATGAACTCATACCTTCCTAATCACCGGTTTGATGACTGATGGCTGTGATGCAGCCAGCCGTCCAAGCTCAAGCTATGGCCCAGCGCGAGGTACAAACCGTTTACAGTTATCTTCTACGTATTAGTCTCTGGGTCATTTTTCGATCCGTTTCCACGTACATTTTTCATAGTAGATACGAGTTATGCTGGCTGCAGCAGACGCGTAGTGAAGTTCCATTCCATCAATCAGACGGCCGGACACACCAAATAGGGGAACTTGTTTGTTGTTTACCCCAATGGACGGGAGCAGCAAGAGCTCGAAGCTTCGCAGTGATCATCGAACAATCCCACATTTTGGCTGTTGTAGGTTTGAAGCTCATCAGAGACAACCGAAGAGCGAGAAGAAGAAACCTTGACCCACTGCGTGAACAATTCACTAATAATTCTTGTTTGAAGAACTCAAGCACGTCGATTATTATTTTTTCCAGCGCTGCTAGGTGCTTGCAAGCCGTGTATTTCATGTGCCGCATAAACTTACGGAAGATATGGTCCTGAACGAAGAAAAAAAAAGAAAGATTGAACCACTGATTGAGTGAGGCTCATTATCAATTCTTTTTGGCCCGATCTGTAAAACTCTTCCTAATCAGAAAACTACTAGCCAATCGGTCCATGAGGCAATTTTTCGTTTCGTTTTTTGCAGTAGCTAGCTAGCATGCGAAAGAATAATGTATCGGATGATGGGGCTTAATGTACACCGAAGCGAAGCGGGTGTGATGTAGTGAACCATTTTTAAAATTAAAATGTGAGATACGATATTATAACAGCGGTGTCTTGTAGAGGTCTTCGTATCATTGCTTTCTTGAAGTACACACAGACAAATCTTTCCAATGGCCTTGTCTTTGCGATTTACTGGGCTGGTTTGTGAGATACCCGGAAATACTCCAATGTGATTTATCATTTCTGGACTAGCCTTTCAGAAACCCACTGGATTCGGCCATTGATTCCTCTGGAATTGTTGAGGAAGCGATTGAACATTATTCGATGAGCCTTAAGTCCATTAATATTTCTTTGGATTTGCTCAGGGAATCTTTGTCACCGAGGTCAACAAAATTTGCCATGAGACTACTCAGGAAATTTTCTCGTTCCGTTCTCAGCACTCAGCACATAAAATGAAGGAACTACGTGGACAGGACTGGACAATAATGAACAGGCCGAGACTTAACGAACAAAAGAATGAACTTGAATTGCTCACATCGAGCTCTTGAATTGGAATGACAGCGAAAAATAACAGGAGTGACCAGGTCAGGTAATCCAACGACTACTTTGATTTCACCCCCTCTTGCTTGAATAGTCCCATAAGCGGTAGCCATTTGGAGCATAGCCTATCATGACCGCCTCCCGACTCTTGTTGTCCAACTTCTTCCTCAGCTGGCTTGGAACCCACGAAAACGCTCTACATCCAAAGATACGCAACTTGGAGAGATCAGGTTTCGCACCTGTCCAGTGCTCAGCAGGTGTACGATTATCCGACAGAGCAGCAGTAGGACACCAGTTCAACAAGTACGTTCCAGTAAGTTCTGCCTCCGACCACATAAACTTTGGCATATTTGAGTCGATAAGCATGGTTCTCACCTTTTCTACTAGGGTTCGGTTGAACCGTTCAGCCACGCCGTTTTGTTGAGGCGAGTATGCAACGGTTGGCTGAATTTGAATTCCCTTTCGTTTGTTGTACGCTTTCTGTTCTCCGGAGCCATACTCACGTCCCTGGTCGACAGTTAGCTTGCAAATTCGTTTTTCAAACTGGTGGTTACCATGGTTTCATACTCTTGAAAATGTACGAAGACTTCGGACTTTCTCTTCATCAGGTAGATGCACGTAAAATCGCTGTAGTCATCTATAAAGGAGACGAAATATCTCGATCCATCCCAAGCCGGCGGATCGATCAGTCCGCACACATCCGAATGTATCCTCTCTAGCAATCGACTGGCTCGCTCACAAGTTCAGTCGAAGGGTTATCTGCACTGCTTTCCAAGCACACATGTGTCACAGAATCCAATTGAATCAACTTGGGCCAAGACCTTCCACCATATTGTGTCGAACTAACGTTTTCTTCGTGGTCTGACAAGTGTGACCCAATCGACGATGCCAGAGATTGCTGACTTCCGCTGCGCAGAGATTTGCTGTAGGTCCTACCACGTCCAGATCTAACTCCAACTCGTAGAGATTTCCTCGCCACTATGCCACACCGATTGCCGCATCACCTTGCTTCATCAGCGCCTGATGTTTTCCGCCGCGGCTTGTGAACAACACGTCAATCCCGGCTTGGGACATCTTCTTGACAGAATGCAGGTTGCCTCGCAGCTGTGGTACGAAAATTACATTTTTCATCTGGAACAGAATGCCTTCTTTGGAAATCCCCCTGACTTCGCCTTCATATTTCCCAACAATCGACACACCATCTTTGGCCACATAAATAACGAAAGGTTGTCCACGTAGAAGATGGTTCGCTTGTTCTGCACCTTCGGTTGCTTCTGGTTCACCATAAACGAAACTGCTGTGCTTCTAACTGCTGCGTTGACGTTACCATCGGTCTTCTTGACACGACAATCTTTCATCATGTGACCAATTTTGCCACATCGATGACACTTTCCGTTGTACTTTCGTTGCTTCTTATTTCTGCCTTCAACAAACGCTGCTGCCTTGTGTTTGCTCGAATCTTCCATCAGACCGCTTGGATTCTTCAGCCAGTAACCGCTGTTTCGCAGTCTCCAATGTTAGGTCGTTCTCGTTGATATTCTCTAGAGCCATCCTCCTCCCCTCTATGCATACTCACGGACTCCGCCAGCGCTCTGGCTGCATTGGAATCTTCCACTGCACGCCACCCGTGGATTCAGGCCATCCAGAAGCACACACAACCCGGCACCACCTTCATGTGGATACCGGGCCACTGCGGAATCGCCGGTAACATTGAAGCCGACCACCTCGCGGCCACCGGACGAAGCGGCCGTCTTGCCCACAAGTCGGTCCCCAGACAAGACCTGAAAGTCTGGATAAAATCTACCATCAGGTCAGCATGGGGCAACGAATGGAACAGCAACCAAGAGCTTTTCATTAGAAAGGTCAAAGGGGAAACGGCCCCATGGACGGACACCAAAAGTTACGCGGAACAGAGAATACTCTCCAGACTTCGAACCGGTCACACCCGGATTACTCACAACATGGGAAGCAGCAGCGGTGGAGGCTTCCGGAGGAGATGCGACGCGTGCCGAACAACGATGACGGTTGAGCACATCCTTATCAACTGCCCGTGTTTCCACGGATCACGGGAGTTGTACGGTCTGACCGACAACATTCGGGACGTCCTCCAAAACGACCCGGTAGCGGAAATCCAACTCATCTGCTTTACGAAGGAAGCAGGAATCTACAAAAATATTTAAAATACGATATTGATAGCAGGCCCGGCAACCCCTGCCGGTAGCAACTACCAGGTTCACCTGGCAGCCTCTGCCGGTGGGGCTCTACCGGGGTCCTTTAGACAGCCTTTGAAATGAAAATTTGACAGCTAGCTGAGACAGGAAACATAAGTTTCAAAAACCAAAACTCTGTACATTCTAAAAACTCTGTAAACCCCCTTTTCCCCTAGGAATACCCCCCTCTGGGGTATTCGGAGACGAGCCAGCCAACGGCTGAAAGTCTCCTTAATAAAGATATAAAAAAAAATCTCTAGAGCCGTTACAAGGGAGTCGTAGTTATCGGGAAGGGTGAGAAATAATTGCGATACCATGTCGTTCTCTTCGCGCCTGCCGATTTGAGTTGGTGTATGACATCGTCGGACTGTTGAAAGTGATGCCGCATCGAAGTTCCTTCTTTCATACGGAGCCTGGCCAACTGCTTTCGCAACAGGGTCTGACTTGCTACAGACGTCTTCGCATATGTATCTTCCAGTGCCTTACACATTTCTCGAGCAGTCTCCTTGTCCCGTACTATGCCTAGACATTCAACAGAAAGGAATCCAACTAGCAAGGACTTCGCTTTCCGATCTGTCTGCAACAACTTCGCCCTTTCCTGGTCCGAGTCATCGGGAACTGGCTTGGTTAATACGTCCGAAACTTCGGCCACATCCAGGTACAGTTGAACTCGAAACCACCAATTCTCGAAG